CGTCACCGTCACCGTCACCGTCACCGTCACCGTCACCGTCACCGTCACCGTCACCGTCACCGTCACCCCCAAAGTTACGACAATGACATTAGTAGGTTGAAAGCGACCTTATTTTTTTTAAAAAAAAATAACTTCTACAAAATAATTAGATCGCTGGTGAGGTGGATACCTTCTAATAATTAAATATTCGTCGATTGGAATTTTCGAACTTCGTTTTCGGCCCGGAAGCTGCAAGCTCTGAGGAGGATCGCTACGCGATCGAAACTATCTTTAGAAAATTATATTTGTTGATACCAAACAACATCTTTAATTTACCGTATTTAATTTCTACAAAACTGATTTTTTTTGCACCACGCCAGGGGCGGTTTCTCAGACACTACAAAAGTACCCCACGCCCCCATTATTTTATCACAAATACTTTATTTAATAATGCTCGAGAAAGTACGAGAGGTATTCACCAACATGTCTCGAATAAAATTAATACTTTAAAATTATGATCCTGGCTTCTAGTAACACGAAGATTCGATAAATTAGTGAGAGCAACATGTGTTATCTTGTAAAAGAGCGAACTAACTTCAAAGTTATTATGTAGGTTTACGATCATTGTTCCGTCTGAAATTCTAAAACCCAAATTATTTCTCTCTTTCTAAACCCATTTGTCGAGATACTTCCGTATTTATATTACTAATGCTCTTCAGTTCGATATACTGATGTTGTATACAAAGTTTTCATATGAAAAGTAGTATTTTTTATCAATTATTGTTTCGTTTTCCGATATCCCCAGGAAGATCCCAGGAGTGTACGATAACGCGGCAACTCCTTAAGAAATCTTACATAATGGACTCCTTGTTAGAAACGGAAGCTATTTCTCCCTAAACAACGTAATGTGTCACACCAGCACCACAATACACTCAAATTCGATATGGCGGGATTGTTAATAGGATTATTTTCACATTTTTGTCGAAAAAAATGGCGTTGAACCGTTTTGATCAAATCCTTTCAATTGAACCATTTTCAATTTTTTATGACCTTAAACTAAAACCATTTTACTAAACTATGGGATTGCGTTTAACATTTGCAGTCTTATGGCAGGTAACGAAGGCAGGTAAACAATGTTTTCTCGAAGAAAAAAAAAAGAAAGAAAAACGAAGCTTACGTTACGAAAATATGAATCGTACGTTTAATACAAAGCATTTTCAAGATCTCCCGTACGAGGCACTTTTTTGGTCAGAAGTATCTCCTTCAGCAAAAGAGTGCACAGTGAGAATGATAGCGCTTGTGATAAGGCCGCCTACGTTTTAAAGTTATTTTTTGGGAGTAAAATTCTGAAATCTTGAAATTTACTGAATTTGATGTGCGTTAAGATGGAGACTATGGTTCACAGCAATGCCATCTAGTGGTGAACAATGCATAGGGTGGTTGCAGAGGACCATGTGACCCTGACGAGTTGTTCGGTCACGAGAACAGCGTTCCATATTAGCAGGAAGGGAGGAATAAGACTGCAACTCTACCTCTTTCTTAAAGAATGCTCGGTGCGGGGAAAATAACTGTACAGACATACATACTCCATATGAACGTTTCAGGACTAAGTGGCAACTCTAAACGTTTGAGTAAGAGGAACTCTACCGTTCTCCATTTCACCCCGGCATAAGGGGAGTTCTGGTCCCGTCCTGTTGTCCCCCTTTTTGTCAAATTAGGAAATTTTTGGCAGTCAAGATGCCAAAATCTAATCAATTTTCCTAGTTCATTCCTAATTAAGTATTCGTCAAAAACGTATTTTGACAGTTTACATTAGAATTTGTGTTTTGCCATGTGCTCCACAGCTGAAGATTTGTCAACAATTTGCAACTCGCGTAGCGAAGTGTCAAATTGATCCTAAAAATAGAACGCTTTTGATCATAGTTTCGTGATTTTTTCATTTTCTGGATAACTACAATTTATTTTCAAGGAGGACGATAGGTATTCAGATATATTTATTTAACGCTTTTTCTTAAATCTTTGTCATGCTAATCCAAATAAGATATTATAGAGATTGTACTACTATACGCACACACAAACTCAAAACTATTTAATCTCTCACAAGAAAATTAATATGTAAAAAACAAGACTTCATTTATTTCAGGCAAAAATAGGTTTTAGCTATTTATTTTACCTTCAGTTTTTAGGATAAAATATTTATCAATTGAAATTTATATTTTAAATTATATAAAAAATCTAAAATATTTCACACGAAGTTTCTTATATTTATCATAACAGGGACTTCTCTTATGTGTCAATAGCATATCGTGTAGTATTGAAGACTGACGAGAGATTATTTTATCGAGGTTAAAATTATTTCTGAAGGATCAGGATCGAGAAAGAAAGTGAGTAATCTATGGAATTAAATACGTGTATAATCTCTAACAAATCACTATATTCACAGAAAACACTGATACAAAAACGTCTTCGGATATAAAATGTTCATAATTTGTGGAAACCACAATACAATGATACACAATAAAATTCCTTAAAACTGAACTAGAATTGACAGAAACAATATGAACTAAACAATTTAGATCAATTTTCACATTTGTGCTAAAGAAATCAACAATGATCCACAAATAGATTTCGCTTTTGAAAGTTTTCACCGAAAAGTATAAACCTAAATAACTCTTTTACGAATCTTTTACATTCAACTTTAGTATTTCGAAATGGTATTTGTTAATAACTTATTACCAACAAGTTTTTCTCGGATGAAAGTTTGTGACAGATTTATCAATATGGCTTGTTTGGAGCGAGTTTACGCTCAATATTTATTAATTACAGTATTTCTCACATTGACGTAAACAGTTTGAGTTCAATTACCAATCTTAGATCTAATAGCAATATTGTTGAAAACTGACAATGAAGAAAGGGTGAAATAAAGGGAACAGACCAGAAGTCTTTCCCGAAACAACGAGGCGCAGCACCGAGTTCGTAAGTAGTATGACTTGATAAGTATGATAATTACTTTTCAAAGAAATCATTTTAATTATAATTTAGAATATTAATTTATAAAAGTTCTTTTAAAATTAGTTCTAAAATTAAAGTGAATTAAAAAACTCCACAACATTATTTCTTCATTAAGTGGGGAACATCCATTTCACTTTTTTGTATTTTGCGTTTTCCTGTTGCGTCTCTTGTTCTTCCAAT